TAGGACTACAAACTGAATGAATAGGAGATAAGTGGTAAGTGGGAATTTTTTTTATAACATACCTTTTCATATATTTTTGAACTATATATTATCTATTCAAAAGGTTAAATTAAAAACAAGCACAACTAAAAGTAGTATATGATTCTGGACTGGATCCTGTATGGGGTGGAAAAAAAATGCTATAAAAGACATTAGGACAAAATAAACCATCAACAAAACAAAGAGGCAACACACAAAATGGGAGAAGAAATTTGCAAACACCTTCAATGAGGGACTAATATCCAAAATAGATAAAGAACTCATACAACTCAACAACAACAAAAATAACAAAAATCCAGTTAGAGTATTAGCAGAGAACCCGAATAGACACTTCTCCCAAGAAGACATACAAACAGGCAATAGACATATGAAAAGGTGCTCAACCTCACTAGCTATTAGGGAAAAGCAAATCAAAACCATAATGAGATACCACTTCACACTTGTTAGAATGGCTGTTATCAACAACACAAGTAATAACGAGTGTTAGGTAGTAAGGAAAAGGGATCCCTTATACACTGCTAGTGGGAATGGAAATTGGTACAGCCACTTTAGAAAACAGTATGGACATTCCTCAAAAAATTAAGAACAGAATTACCATATGACTCAGCAATCCCTCTTCTGGATATCTACCCCCAAAATTTGAGATCATTTATCCATAAAGATATATGCACCCCGATATTCATTGCAGCACTATTCACAATGGTCAAGATGTGGAAACAACCAAAGTGTCCTACAATTGGTGACTGATTAAAGAAGCTGTGGTACATATATACAATGGAATATCATTCAGCCATAAGAAAAGATGAAATACTGACATTTGCAACAACATGGATAAATCTTGAAATAATCATGCTAAAGCAAAACAAGTCAGACAGAAAAAGTTGAGAACCATCTGATTTCACTCATACATGGGATTTAAAACTGAAAGCAACAAATGAACAAGACAAACAAAAAAAAACCTCATAGACACAGACAACAGTTTAGTGGTTACCAGAGGAAAAGAGGGAAGGAGGTAGATAAGCGTACAAAGGATCAAATATATGATGACGGAAGGAGATTTGACTTTGGGTGGTGAACACGCAATGCAATATATAGATGTATTATAAAATTGTACAATCAACACCAATGTTCCCCCAATAAATTTAAGTTTTAAAAAGCAACTGAAAAAAAAAAAAGACATTAGGATAATTAACAAAATCGAAATATGGAATATAGATTAGATAAAATAACAATATTGAGGGTTTTCTTAATTTATCAACTATACTCTAGTTACCTAAAAGAATATCCTTGTTCTTAGGACATACACACTGAATTATGAAGGAGTCAAGGGCATAATATATGCAACTGCTACCCAAATAGCTTGAAAGAATAAGTAATAATATGCATATATATATGGGAAGAATGATAAATTGTGGCAAATTGTTAAAAACTGGTAAATCTAGATAAACATTACATGGGAGTTCTCTATTTTTCTTCAAACTTCTCTGTTAGTTTAACCACATAAAAGGTTAATAAAAAACAAGCAAACAAAAACATTAGTACTCTAGAAATTACCTCAGTATAAGGAACGGCCAAAGTGCAGAAGTCTCTTTAAAAGAATCTTAAGAGTTCCTGGTTTTTACCTAATCATGCTTTTCACTTTCTGATGAAGTTTTTGCTTTCCATTCCTGGTGATGCTTAGTCAGAGATAGCAGCATAAGAGGTAGTGACTACAGTTTACTTTGAGATTAAAGAACACCTGCCTATGTTATCCTGTTGTGTATCTTCTTCAATTATATCTCCTCTACAATTTAGAGGTGCCAACACATGGCATTTTAAAATACCTTGAACAAAATTTTCTAAGGATATTAATTATCGTAAGGTTGTGTGTTCACAGTGCTAAAATACATATTTAATTTAGCAGTGGTAAGGCTACAGAAACATTTAATCTAGTTGTTTAGCATTGAGTGACTGAATTTTTTTATTATTATTTTTCAGTTAGATATGTGTCATTTGTATAAACTAACCATGTCTACTAAAGTTGATTTAGCATTATAGATGAGTGAAGATGTTTTGATTCTAGCCAGACTGGCCTCTTAAGTGATTAGGTAATGAATTTTATGTTATAGGAAAGTGAAAGTAAATTATTTGTTTGTATAAACTGTCCAGAGAATGTTTGAATTTGACTATTTTGCTTTTTAAGTATGCGAAATTCTATTCTTCTGGATGAAGGTACTCTGAGGGTCTTGTCTAATAAATAATACCAAACAAATCTGGTATCAACTGAATTGTTAGTATTTGTTTCCTGTCTGTTTGGGGAAGCTCATGATTTTGTGCTGTTATAGAAATCAGGAAAATAGGAATAATGAACATCCCCAATCTTTTTCCTTCTCACTTTACAAAACATTTGGGAATAATTGAGAAATAATGGCTCTGACTTTAATCTCTTAAGTAGACGTACTTCATTAGAACTAACAGTGTCATTTTTCTACAGCTAAGGCAGAATGCTATTTTTGCTACTTGTTCCCACAACTCCAGGCCCATTTTACACCTAAGAAAACTAGGTCCCAGTGAGAGTCATTTAAGTGTCTCAGGCCTCATTGGCTGAATAATGCTCATGCCTATAAGTGTGTCTTAAGATTTAGTGAGGTACTTCATAAGTTCATATAGTAAATTGTCTAGAAAGCTGTGGAATAATAGGTCATGCCCATGAATACTGTTTAGTTAGTTGTGTGGGTTTTTTTTTTTTTTTTTTTTGTAATAGCTCTGTAAACCAGCTTAGATCACATTTCCCAAAAATCAGAATGTACGAAAAATATAATTGAACTTAAATATTATTGAACATTGTTTAATCCTTTTTCAACAATTTAGAACAAATTTCAGGATCTTGCAAATGTTCAGGGTCATTATTTTGAAAAGTGTTCTCATAATAAAGCTCTCTAAATACAGAAGATAATAGAGACTGGTCTGTGTCTATACTGATTTATGACAGCTCTTTTACATTCTTGATATTCTTATATATTTGTTTATATTAGTAAGTACAGAAGGTAGAAAATAATTCTATGTTATGTTTCAGGAAATTTAACTTCACATGACACCTAAGGATAAAGCATCTCAAGTATCTATACATGTATCCAGAAAAAAACAGTGTAATAAAGCTGCATTCATTTAGAATTTTCAGTAAATGAGACCAATGAGTCATGAGTCTTAAGAACAAAGTTCGAAATAATCTCATCGATTGTAAATTAGGTTCTAGTCACAAATAAAGATTTATCCAGCCAAAAATTAATAACTTTTTCAAACAAAGGACTCAAGGAATTATATCTAATTGTGACTTACTTACCATTTATATATAATTATTTTCAAATCTGAAATCTAGTAATTCTTATATTAATTCTTATATTACCTAAAATGTTTTATAGACATGTTACATAATGTAACCCTATTATAAATGGTAATGGTGTGTCATTAAGTTAGCTCGTTTTACTTATTTAGTGCCTGTTTGTTCTTAGTTTATAGTTAATTCCCGTTATAGTATGACTTGTACTTGGAAGTAATAAAACCAGATTTCTTTATAAATATTTATGGTACAGACCTTTTCCTAAATCAGTTTTTCAAATAAATTTTGCTAATTTTTTTTTTTTTTTTTTTTTTTTTTTTTTTGCCTATGTAGCAGTAGGTACTGCATACTTCCTAGAAAACTTAATCCTAGATATCTATTCCTTAACTTCCAATTAATCAAAATATTGTTAACTGCAATGTAGTTTCTGGTGTTCAAACGTGTGGAAAATTAGTTACTTAAAGAGTTTTAATAACTGCTTCTGGAATGGAGTCTTAGCATCTACAGTCATATGGTCAAAATTGATCACTAAGTGAATGAGTCCTCTCCTTGAATATCAGTCTTTCCAGGAGGATCTTTTTTTCATTATCATATCTATGCTTAGTCCTTGTTGAAAATATTCATTAGTAGCAGGTAGTAGAAGTTAGACAGAACATGCTTTTTGAGATACTTAGGTTCTTTATTAAGACCTTAAGTTCTCAAGATCTTTTTCCTTCCCCCTTGACCTTAGTTGAGATTCAAGTTTATAAGTCTTCGACCATACCTGTCCCTATAAAGGATGCAAATTTGTGATTTCAGAAGTTCCAGCTCCCAGTAGAAAGCTCCATCCAATCTTTTGCAGATGTCCTCTAGGCCAGATTTCATCACAAATAACTTCATTCCACTGTCATGTGCCAAGTTTAAAGTACTGTATTAGGTTACTCTGTAGTCAAAACAACAAAGCCCTGGTCCAGACTGCTGTAAGACAAGAGGCCATTGCACTGCCGCTTTTGTTCTGGCCATGCATTCAGTGGTAGCTTTCTCTTTTGCTAGTTGACAGTTTAAAGGAAGTAGTGACTCCTTAGTAAAAAGTAACCAGATTAGGTTATTTGTAATAAGCCAACTAAAATCAGTAATCCTTGACATTGGCATGAATAGTAGTCATGTTTTTATTGTGTCATTGTGATTTTTCTGTAGAGAAACCCCGAAAAGAAATCATTATTTATATTTCTTAAATTTACAGCTCTTTAGCTATATCGAAGATTTTATAGCCCAGAATGTAGTCAGGCTCGATGCTTAATTAGAGATCCATGATCCAGTCCTTACAAACATTCCCTTTGGCCTGTAGTTTCTGCTCAAGTATTTATACTGTCCAAAAAGGTACTGCTACCATTTACAGTTGTTCACCCCAAATGTGAACTACCTAGGTATAACAATAACAAAACACATACAGGATCCATATGCTGAAAATTACCAAAAAAGCATTGCCTACAGATGGCTTTGTACCTTGGTTTCCAAGTGCTCCTGTACAGAATATGGAGTTCATGTTTTCTCTCTCTTTTTGAATGGTGAGTGATGAAGTAGCTTCAGCTTTACTGGGTGAGTTTGTATACTGAGTATTACGAAGAGAAGTCAGTCTGCCTTTCTTTGGCTTTAATTGCAGAAAGTGAAGTCACTGCTTTTGCTGTCTTGGATCAGGACCAGAAAGAAATTGTTGATACCAATGGAGCTGGAGATGCATTTGTTGGAGGTACAGACTCATTTATTTTATACTTACTTGTAAGTTAAACATTTCCTTTAACTCTTGTCTCTACTACATAGCCAAGATTTATGAATTTAATAACTTTTAATTTCTTTTAAATAATTAACTCCTAATGTTCTTTCCATATGCTACTATCATTGTGAGTTCTAAGAGGGTATTTTACTACAGGAAAAATCTGTATTTTTGGCTTAGAGATAATTTGCTATTATGCTATACCCCAGTCATTTTCTCAAGATTAATTGTGTCTTTCAGAATATTCCATAAATAAGCTGCATCAAATACAGTATATAGTATATCCATAGCCCTTCAGGCTTAAATGCTAACACATTGTTCTTTAAAACAAGTTGTGGTGAATATTAAACAGTATACTAATAACTAAAGATGATGTCTTTGGATTGTATCATTTGGTTAAAACATCTGTTTCTCACAGTAGTTGAATGTTTATTATATTAGGTAGAGTTAATTTTTTTGTATGGTTCAGGCTCAGTAAGAACTGGCACAATTTATGAGGACTAAATCATTTTTGGAATGAGTACTCAAAAACAAGATCAAGACAGGAGATTCTGGCTTGATGACTTAAATTAATCTAAAATCTGGTTCAGAGATTCTTTACATATGTCTAAACTCCTTCTAGTTCAGTGTAGTTGAGCTAGGTTTAACTACTTTCTGGAAAGTTTTAGACTCCTGAATGATAACCTAGAAGGGTCCCTCCTGATCTCTTTATTTCTCATAACATCAATCATGACAAGGAAAAAAAGGCAAATGGAGCTGACCATTGTCCTCTTTTCCTTGGAAAATCATTTGAATCATGGAAAACTTATTTAAGATTATGCGATGGTTTTAACAGTATAGTTTAAATTTATTTGTTATTTATTTATTTTTAAGTAGTCTTTTTCACCAACATAAAGTTTTCATATTTCCTTCCTAAAACTATTCATGCCTAGTCTTAGTCTTAAATGAGCTGTTAACCATTACACTGGTAGCATGTCCCATGTGTTGTTCTTTGGTAAGAGCATACACCATAGATAACATTCTACATTGCTGTCATGCTTGCATCTTTTATTTCTTTGCTCTGAAAGTTTCATCATTGATTATTTTACAGCTGTATTTCCTATTCCATACTGCTTTAGAGTAAATTCAGGTAGGCTAAAAATATCCAGGATTGGGCTAAATTCTATAATACATCAAGGAAATGGTATTGATTTCCTGGTTAGAAATTGTTTAACCAGGAATCTTAGTACAGAAACTTTTAAACTTGTATGCTGTATGTGCCTTTTTAAATATTTAAAACAGTAAGTATTCTATTTCCTTGATATTTAATAGGGTATATTGTGAGAGCATTATAGATATGACGGTGACCTAATTAGCCACTACCTCTGGCCCTGGGGCTTTGGGCTACCTGGCCCTGCATCAGCTGATTCCCTTACAGACAGACACCTAGCTACCCATTAATGCTTGTAATACTAGGTAGAAACATGTAGACATTTTGAGGGAGAGAGAAGTCATTCTTAGAATACTGAAGTAGGAACAGCTAGCCACCCGTTTGTATTGTAGTTAGGGTGATAAATGAATTACCTCTTCAAAGTACTTGCGTTCTTTGTTACCAAATTTTCAGCCTCCTTTTTATCTCGCTCTACTTACCTAGCCTCATTATATATTTATTGTTGGGGTACAATAAGGTAAATAAAAAGGAAAGAGT